CCGTGTATATATATATATATATATATATATATATTTTTATTGTTTCAAAAGTAAGAATATTTAAACTACTTATTATATAAAATATTAGAATTAAAATTATTAAATTACTATAACAAATACTAATAGTATTTATTAATTATCTGTAATAAAGCATTGTGATTAAAATATAATATGTTACATTTTAGTTTATAATAATAATAAAATTGTCATTATTAGTTATAAAACTGTAATGAAGCTGTGTTTATTAATTTAATAATTATAGAATATTGAACAAAGTTATACTAACATTAATACCACTAATTGTTCTAAATAATAAATAACAATAAAAGTAATTTCATCAGTTTCATTAAAAAAGAACAGAGCTATTATATAAGAACAAAACTTTTTTGAAATTTGTAGTTATACATTCTCTTAAAAAAATATATATATATATATGCATGTAATTAACAAATAAAAAAACAACTATTACATTTTGTTTAATTAATGATTGTTCACATATAGAATAATCTAATATAGTCTCTCCTAGTGACACTCTTTTATTGTCTGTTAAGCTGTTCCAAAATTTATTTGTATTTTAGCTGAACTGTAGTGTTGTTCTCTAATCAAAAACTTCTAGATAATTTTTTCATACAAAGTTTCTTTTCTTTTTTGGAAACATTATTTCCAAAACTATAATGACATTTTACACATTTATATATTAAAAAAATGTTATTCTTTATGTTAAATGAATTATTCAGGCCTCTAGTTTTCATAATACACTTTATTATGAATTAAATAAAGATAAAACCAACAAATTACATTATTTAAATTACATAACAGAAACTTTGATTCTGCAGAATGCCATTCTTGGCGGGAAGAAATGAACCAAGTTGCACCAAGTTGTATGTATGATCACACAAGATCATACATACAACTTGGTGCACCTCTTACCTGTAATTATTCACTGACATTATATGAATTTCTAAGTCTCAACACTTTATATTAATGATATATCTGATAATAAATAATGAAAGATATTTTGGTGGTAACTTATTGTCATATCTACTATTTAATTAAGGATTTTTGATAAATGCCAATTTTTTTAAAAATTTTGTTTATACCAAATAGAATCAAAACAAATTATTACTTTATATAATAGTTTATTAAATGTAGTCATGTTACGTATATATCTTGTTTTATTGCACGACTAAATATCTATATGGAAATAAATTTTAAATTATGGAATATGTTTCAGCAAAAATGTGAATGTTATTGGTCAGAAGAAGAAAAAAAAGGTTATGGATACATTACTGTTGAAGTTGTAAGTATTCAGAAAAATATTTATTAATAAACATTACATAATTCAATATATTCTACATTTCTACATACTTTATATTTAATTTTCAGTTGAAAATACAATACATTTGCCCTGATTTTCTAGTCAGAACATTTAAAGCTATTAACAACAATAATAATAAAGAACGAATAATATATCAGTTTCATTATACAACTTGGCCAGATCATGGTGTACCAGTATCTGTAGAACCAATTTTACAACTTATTCAATTAGTTAGAAAATTTCAAGCATCTGAAGCAGTTCCAATTTTGGTTCATTGCAGGTATTTATATTTACAATGTTTTATCTTATGGTAATTGAATGAAAATCTGCAACAAAATATTTGTTCAGTTAATTAAAACAACTGTAATATAATTTTTGATGAAGTTTGAGTATCCATTATATGTAAAAATTTGTAATTACTATTTTATAGAATTTTTTAATAAATTTAATGTGCATTATATTAATAAACTTTTTAAAATTTTATGCTGTGTATTACAGAAAACTAAATACAGTTCTTTTACATAATAAATATTGTTTACATAACTGCATTTAATTATTTAAACAATGTTTGATATATTATTATATAACTATTATAACATGTGTTTCAAAATTAGTTTTTATTGCAGTTCAATGATTAGTTATAAATTATTTGTATTAAGAACATTACTTGCATAATATTTTAATTAATTAAGTTTTTACATCTATTTCATATTTGGTGTATGCATTATAACATTCGTATCTGCTTTTCTAAAAAATAATAATTTTATATTTTCTTTATTGTTCAGTTACTTAATGAATAGAATTGAAAATACTTAATTGAAGAAGTTTATTTTAGAGATTGTCCATATTATTTTTATTTCTAGAATTTTAAAAATAAAAATTTCAGTCTATCATACTATTTAAAAATTGATCTCTCTATATTCAGATTTTGCAAAATCTAAGACACACTTGTAATTTTATAACAAACCTTATATTAAAGGAACATTTATGTAAAAAATTTATCTGTTCTTTAATAATATAGTTTTTAAAGATGTAATCGTTAGAATAATTTAAACTTATGAGAACAAATGAATAAATACATTAAAAAAAGATTTAAAAAAATGAAATATCATTTAATAAAGCTATAAAATACAGGATCACTGAAAAAGGTGTTCAGGATTTCACAATTAAATAATAATACATTTAATTAAAATTAAAGCATTTTATTGTATTCAGTATTGATACAGAAAATTTTCAAGTTTTTTCATGCCTTATTATGTTTCAATGGGAGCACTCCTCATTGCTCAACAAACATCTAAATAGTAGTCAATCTCTGCATGACTGTCATTAAGATCTCTAGACTATGCGTGTTCAGTTATTTCAGTTTCTGTCTCGTGTGTATATGTTGTAGTTCACAAATTGTCTTTGCATAGAATATTTTCTTAATATAGATCCAGTTGACTGTTGGAAATTGTCATTATTGTCAATTAAAATTGAAGCACAGTTTGTATGGTCATTGTAAGAATACCAAGCTGCCAGCTGCAACAAGTTATGGCTTTCTTTGGGCTAGGCATACATAGTTGTCTCAAATACACATTTTCTTTTGATCTAGGAGGTTGGTCTAGCAATTGCCTAATGTACACACTTTCAATTTCTTTGAACTGAGTAAATCATTGAATTATAGTTTTGTCTGTAGGTGCATCTTGATCACAAGTATGTTGATAGTGATATTGCTTGTTATAGCATTGTTGTGGCATTATTTAACATACCACAGCACAAAATGTGCTTTCTATTGCATGGTTGCCATTATATTGACTGAGATAAATTCAGGGATTGCTGTTGTGCATATTTAATGACCAAAAGGAAAATTCAATATTTTTACTCAGTTCAACACAACAATCAAAGAGATTAGTTGATTATTATCCAAGATATTTGATATTGAAATTACCCTGTTTAATTAAATTTACAATGACCCTGTATAATTAAAAATACATTTTTATCTATTATTTTTAGTAAGACTTAATATATTTATATCATTACACATTATTATTTATTGTATGCTGTTAACAATTAGAAGTCATTATGCAAAGTGTATGCTTTATTTTTGTTTATGATTGGAGTCATTTTGACTACTTATGCACTTGCATGCATATTTAAGTAAAGATAGATAAAAATAACTGACTAGTTTGATGAATATGTGCTCAGATTTTCTTAATCAAAAGTGTTGTTGTTGTTAGTTCAAGATGACAAGAACTCTACTAAAATACATTTTATAAATAAAATTCAATACATTACACAGAATTTATTTTACTATATTTTAAAATTAGTTGTGGAAAGTACTCTGACTAGTACTTTGGCCAATAAAATGGTTGTCAGTCAGGTCAGCAACAGCAAGAATTTAAGTTAGTCTCATCTCTATCTCTGGACTTTTCTCAGGAACATACTCATTTCCATTGCTTTCAGATTCAGAAGCATCATTTCTATGATTCATTTTTGAATGAATGTTGGAGATATGCAAAGCATTTTTTAAATCAAGAGCTAAACCAAAGTTTCATGTTTTCACAACACTTCATCAAATCATCAACAAATAAAATTTTCTACTAGAATGTTGCCTTTCATTAGCAGTTCCACTTGACTGGAGAAAAAGTTTTGAAAATGGCTTATCTGTCATCAGAGAGAAATGACAAAATACATGTATAATGAATGGGGTGAAAATGGTCAAAATGTAATTTTAGATCTATATTCATTTTTCTCAGATTATTTTTAAGTTATTTGGTTACATTTTTTACTGATTGGTAAAGGTGCCAAATCATGAAAACTCATATAAAATTTCAAGGCAATCAGATATATAGTAAATAAACTACTAGAAAAAGTATATGAACAAGGTCAGATTGACTCATCCATAATGCTAGTGTTAAAATATGTTGACAAAATTTTTTCTGAGAACAATAGAAATACTTTTTTATTGTTATGTTGTTATTTAGATTAGAAATTATATCAAAATTTAGTAATCCATTTACAATGAATTAAAATTTTAATTTACAATAAATATTTCTGAAAATAAACCTAAAATATATAATTAATCAAACATCCTTACTACACCCAATACGTTTAAAGCTATACATCCACCAAAGCTGAATATTATCGGGCTAGAAACGGCTGTTTCATTTCTAGCCTGATAATATAGTCATTTCTAGCCCAATAGTATAATATAGCCTGATAATATAGTCATTTCTAGCCTGATAATATAGTCATTTCTAGCCTGATAATATAGTCATTTCTAGCCTGATAATATAGTCATTTCTAGCCCAATTTGGTGGATGTATAGCTTTAAAATATATAAGTTTTTCATAAAATATCTCATTTTAATTATTGAAAAATATTCATATCAGTTATTCGTCAATTATTATTATTCACAGTATTATTGATAAAATTGAATTAAAAATAAACCAATTACATAATTATTTCAATAATTGCACATATAATACATTTTTATAATCCAAATGCTAAACTATTGTTTTATTTAGCATAATTCTTATCATTTTATAATATTTTTATGTTACTTAATATGTTTAATATACACTAAAATTCATAAATAAAAAAAATCTGTCATATCTTTATATGAAGAATAAACTATATTCTATATTTTACATCTTTTTTGTTTCTTATTAATTAATACATTATATTTAACTATTAGTGCTGGCTGCGGTCGAACAGGAACAATTTGTTCAATAGATTATGTTTGGAGACTAATGAAAATGGGAGTAAGTAATATTTTTAACAAAATAATTTTGATTTTTAATAAACTTTTATTTAATTTTTAACATAATTTAACATAAAATTGTGAATTGTTAATAATATGACAGAAAAAGTTATTTTATGGTAATTACAAAAGTATCATTAAATAATATTATATGATTGATATTATTTGAAGAAATAGAAGTTTTTGCAAAAATCATAAACAGAAGTAAAATTGATTTCAAAAAACCTTAGTTGATGGAAAATTAATTGGTTTTTCTTTTTTTCTTTCTATTCTGAGGCAATAAAATAATGATCATCAACTTTTCTGACCTCACAGACCACTAAACTTACAATTTTTAATTCCATGGACCACTATCATAAATTTTTTAAAATGATATAAATGTCTATAGAATAATGATCACAAAAGTTACATTTTAGTTCACTTTATTAATATGAAATTCACTTGTTTAATTACAACAAATTAGTGTAAAATTTGTTGCTGCTTGTTTTAAATAAATTTATGGATCTTTTGCTCTTTTCCATAAAGGACAACAGTTGCACTCACAACATTACTTATTGATTTATTGACATTATTATTTATTGATAAGTCATTTTGTATTGGGTTTTGACTCAAATAAAAAACCTCAATGAGTGAGAATAAGCAACCAAGCATTTTGCATTTCTTTCATAATACTTTGCATAACCTTGAGTTAATCAATGTCCAAATTTCTCCACAGATTATCAAAATTTTCTCATAGACCAACAGTTGGCAACCTCTGTAATAAAAGAGCCTATTGAGATGTTCACTAGAAGTTTGGCTGATACCCTAATGGACCAGCAAATAAGAAATGGGGCCTGATAAATCCAAACAAAATTAACTATCAGAAATTTCTGGGACTCTTGAGCTGGTTTAAATATGAACCCAGGTTGCTCAGAATAGCAGACAGATACTTTTGGAACCTCAACTATTCAGCTTACTTCATGACTTCCTGTTAATAATTATAATTATTTGGAAAGCTTTGAACTAAATTCCAAGGCTTTCCAAACTTTTATGAATATTTTTCTTTAAGAACTTTTATGAAAAATAATATTTTAACAATATTTCATGCCCTGTATCATTTAAGTTTTATCAATAAAATTTACTTTTATTAAATATGACAACATAAAGAATTAAATAAAAAGTAGATGATGGTATATAACATAGATTGATAACCTGTGACAAGTGGAACAATTTTTAATGGCATGTAACAGGTTACAAGCCCACAGCATAGGAAGATCAAAAACTGAACATGAAATAATATCTAAATGTGTTACATTTATAACTTGCTGACAGTTCAAATTAGACTCCATTCATTTTAATTAATTTTTTTGTATATTCTCTATACTGCTCAACTTTTCCAAACTTTACATTATTGTGTTTAGATTCATTATAAATTTGTTCAATACATGATTCACAGATAATGATTCAAGCTTTATGAGATTTATACATTCTTGGCGTGGACATGTAAAGCAAAACAGAATAGTAATTCATAAGAGTACTTTCTAAGACCAATTCATTATTTTTTCATACCTGTTTACTATCCATAAAAATTATTAACTAAAAGATTGTAATAGGAATATGAATATTATTTCAAATCAGAAGACTTACAAAATCAGTCGAGTCATTAACTAATAGAAAAAGACATTAAGTTCTACTTTGAATAGTAATTTTGATTAAATATGAAGTTTATTGGTGATAAAATAAACATCCCAATTAAATTCAGTTTCTTGCCTTACTTGAAGCAATATCTATTGTTTCTTTGGTAACTGTAATGATGATTCAAGCTTTGAGATCAGCAAGATTTATATGCAAGGGTGAAATAAACACTGGACCGTTAATGAAATCCTAGAAGAAAAAATCAAGATGTGTTAAATCTAGGAACTAAGTTGGCCATGCTATCAGTTCTGCTTGATGAATACCAATCTGAGAAATGTTTGAGGAAATTCTGAATATTTATGAGTAATGGAGTGATGCACTGTCTTGCTGAAAGTGTGTGTCATTTGGTGTCATAGTTGTTTAACTGTGGAATGAGAAAATTTTCTAACATTTTCAGATACATAGTATAGTCAATAGTTTTCTCATGGAAAAAGAAGGGGCTAAACACTTTTTGTCACAAGCAGAAAACACATTTATTTTTTAACTGCAAAGAACATATTCCTCAAATGATTGTGGATTTTCAAAGCCCCAAATCCTATGTGTTCACTTTATCATTGAGTTGAAAGGTTAAATCATCACTGAAAATAATGTTATCCAGGAATGTCTTGTCTTTCTCAATCTGATGCCACATTTCTGTACAGAATTTCTAACAAGTAATTTCTATCAGGAATTTTTCTAGGAACATTTCTGTAGACAGTTTATGCACTAAAATTTAAACTTTTGTGAAATGTTTTGACCTATTGGGAAATGGCAGATTAAGTTCTATTGTAAACTGGAATTGGTGCCTGTGTGAACTGGATGTTTGAGCATGCACAATGCTAAAAGATCACGTCTCTCACTCATACAAATGATGTCTCTCATAAATTATATTACTGTTTTGTTTATTTTTTTCTTTTGGCTAAAGTAAAATTACTTTTTTGGCACTATAAACCATTGCAGTGTACTGTACATAGTATATTTATTTTAAAAAATCACTAATTTTTCAGAAAATTTTTTAAAACAGCAGTAATACATAGTCTTGGAACAAATTACAAATTTAACATTTGAAATGGAACCAAATTTCGAGCACTTGATGATCATGAAGGATTAGTTGATCCAATTATTTACAAACATGGGGATCAGTGTATTTTTTTAAATTAAAGCATGATTTTACTGCAGATCTCCAAGAAATCATGTATGATGAAAAATTGCATCATATATAACATCATAAGCATGAGAACACTTTTAATTGGCTGACAAAGTCTATTGAAAATTTTGACAGTTTTATCATATAAAAAGTCTGATTGTTATTTTGAATGCTGAAGGTTTATCCTCTCATGAAATAGCACAAATATTGCATTGTCATCAATCAATAATTGTGCTATTGTGCAAAGGAGAGATGGACATGACAAAATTGAAATAAAAGCTGGATCAGGAGTTAAATGTGTGAGTATACTGTGCCAGGATAAGATGCTGAGATGTTTTAGTCTTCAAGAACATGTAGAGTTGTAAAAGCAAGTGAACTGAGCAACATTGTTTGTCAACATGGATTTGAAAGCCTAACTTCCACATAAGTTGTTGTTACTGATGAGTAAAATGTGCAGACATTTTTACTTATCAGTAATGGCTTATTTGGACTAAATTTCAACACTCCAATCTGCATGCTCTATGATATTCTGTTATGTTTTTAGATGAATTTAAATTTAACCTGCATGAATCTGACAAAAAACTCTCTTCTAAGTGTAGAAAAAATGATTCTTGATTGCTTGATGCAAACATTAGTGGAATACATAGTCACTAAATGTGTTGGCAGACTACACTTTTATAAATGGTTGTGTGAATGCAGATGTGCTATTTTACTTTCATAACTGTGAATGGAAAGTTCTTGCAACAGTGCTCATTAACAGTATTGGTGAAATATGATGAGAAATAACATTTATGAAAGTTCAGTGGAGCAATATATCTAATAAATTGCATTTTTTGGTATAGTTGTCTTCATTTCTTCTTGTACTACATAAGTTTTCATAAGTTATTATGGTAAAATATTATAATTAAATTTTTTAATTATAATTATTAAATTTAGCAAGAGATGGCACCTAATGCCTACCTCTAGTGCCAAATTACTTAACACTTAATTAACAGTAGTAGTAATAATAATAATAGCCTAATATAATCTAACAATCATTTGGCTTTAATACTTAACTATTGGGTTTAAGATGGTTATATGCATACTTTTGAATACTTTTTGGTGTGTAATGCAAGTGATATGATTTCCATGGCCCCTAACTACTGTATATTTGAAATTATTAAATTTTTAACCATTTTTGAATTTTTATTTTATTTTAAAATATAATTATTAAGTAAAATTTAACCATATTCAAATGAATATCTTTTTGAATACTTTTGAAATGATTTTTTTTATTTACATACAGAAGCTGACTGAATTCTTTAATTTATATGAAATTATATCAAAAATGCGAAAACAAAGGATTGCAATGGTTCAAACAAAGGTATGAATTTATTAGCAATATTCTTAAATTTTGATATATTTTTTGATTCCATTAATAACTTTTCTTTCTTTCTTTGAAGGAACAATATATTTTAGTACATAGAGCAGTAGCTGCACTATTTGAACACCAACTTGAGTTAATTGATAATCATATTTATGAAAATTTAGATGAAAATGGCCATCCATTGCTAAAAGACACAGAGGTATATTTTGAAATAAGTAAATTAATAATAATCTCAAGGTTTTAATTGAAAATTCTTTCAGATTTTAAATTCACATGAAGCAATGAATGAAGAAAATGAAAATTCTTTTGAAATGAAAAAGCAAGATTATACTATGGGTAATTTATCATTTATATAGTGATTATCTATTATTTTTTTAATATTAAAATTGTAGAAAAATTATTTTTTAGTTGTTATCTTCATTTTAAAAATTTTCTGTTGAAAAATTTTTAAGGCTTTAATTCATATTCAATTGATTATAATTTGTATGTGTATCTTGTCTACTTGGACCTTGTTCATTAATAAAACTTATTATACTGTTTATACTGTGTAGTTTCTGATTAGCAGATAGAGGAGATCTTGGTTAAAAGTCAAAACATCTTTGTTTTTGCCTGAAAATAGGTAAAAATAAAGATATTTTGTTTTGACTTTAATTTTGTTCTATTAATAAACAAGATTTAAGTAGACAGGATACACACACAGATTTATAAGAGTAAGGACATAGAGATAAAATGAATTGATTATAATTTACTTTAAAATGTTCAAACTTCTTTTCCTCTGAAGTTTTAAACTTTCCAAACCCTTTATTTTCACTCTTAACTTATTTTCATTGTGCTATCCTCATCTTAACATGTAGTTTATAAACTATTACAATATTTTTTTAACTCAATATTTTTGATAAACTTTATGGTTATTAATAATTTTTATAAAAATGCCTTAAGGTGATATATATGTATTGTACCATCAATAGGTTTTGACAAACAATCCAATGCATTCTTACAAATTAATAGGTGGCATCAGTTAAAATAGTCAAAAATAGATCTACATATTTAATTTAAATCCAAAATTTATTTAGGAGAGGTTTTGGAATTTTTAAAAATGCAAAGAATTCTATTTGTTAAAATGTAAACATAATATTTATTAACAAAATTTCTTTTCAGCCATTATTCATTTTAACATTAAGATTATTGTTTAAATTATTTTTACTTTTTAAAATGTAAATATTTTCTTTAAGCTTTGGAATATGTATCCACTTCATAATCCAAGATTTTAATGTTAACATTATTTTTGTCAGTATTACAATCATATGTCATAATGATTGTGAAAGATAAAAATTCTATTTTGCTTTAAGTTTGAATTAGTTCTTTTACTTTTTCAATCATTATTTTGTTTCTCTGATATTAGATTATTGCATATACAGTACAAAGAATACAATAGAATTATTATAACATATACATCAACCCAATTTAATTACTAATGTCAAATGAATTGCTGAATTATTCATTGTGCTATAACAAAGCTAATTTACTGATTAAATATAACTGGCAATGCATCTTCACAGTAAGTAGGAGTTGCAATATAAGTCCTGCTCATGATCAATTTTTTCTTCCAGAATATTGTAAATTTAAATCAAATCTATTTTGAATTATTAAATTTATCATTAGATGGCAGCCTAACTGTCTACTTATAGGCAAATTTCTTTATCATTGAATATTAAATTAGCTTTATTACATCATTCTATTTTCAGATTTTTGGATTATTACACAGACAAGAAATACAATAAATTTATTAATACAGTGATACCTCGGTTTTCATTGATAATTCATCCAAAAACAGTCAGCAAAATTTGAAACTGATGAAAATCAAAGCAATTATTTCCATATAAATTAATGTAAAACCAATTAATTCATTCTAGACACTCCAAAATACATACCAAAAACACATTTTATAGAGAATAAATACAGTGTTTAATACTAAAAACAATAAGAAATTAATATAAAATGAATACAAAAGTGGCTGATTTAAGCAATCTTTGTCACTCTTGTATTTTTCAATGATTTTCTTCTTCAACTTCGAATGTATTCCAGGCCTTCTTCTTCGAAGGACTGCTGGCTCTGGAAACTTTCTTTGGTCCTATGATGAAGCAAAAAGGAAAGGGAAACAATGGAATTGCTTGGCTAGAGGTGTGGGATAATAATGCTCACACAAGAAGAAACAACACCACACTGAACAGGAAAATACATGAGTTGCCCTTTTCGCAAAATTAGCAGTCGTGGGCACGCTGATGAAATCCGAGACAAATTTTTTGCAAAAAAAAAAAAAAATAGACAAAAACAGAAACCAAAATCAACAAAAACCAAGGTATTACTGTACCAAACAAACTGCTGACTATTCATCATGTTCATAATAATTGTGTATCAATTGTATATAAATAACAAAACATGCTTTTTAAGTAGAAAAAATTTTTTAAAAATCAAAATATTAAAGTGACATTCATAGTATTATATAGAATATATAATAAGTAGACATGTTTAATAAAGTTATCATTATTTTTAAATTGTTTTTTAATAGTAATCTTCAGATGAACAAATATTAGTAACTGAATAAAATTAGATTTAAATAGCATTTTCAGATTATTAAATAATTGTTCCTTAAATGTTTTGAATATTAATAATAATTTATTTTATTTATAGATTTTAAGAAAGAAACCATAGAAAGTTCTTTGAGTGAAGAATCTGATACAACAATTACAAATGATGACTTAGAAAATACAAATTATGAAAGTTTTGATGTTGGAAATGAAACAGCAAACAATATAAATTATAGCATAAATGATTATAATTGTGATCAGAATGTAAATTTTACAATTTCATTGCCTCTTAATCCAAGTAAAACCTTTACAGATAATTTATCAGTTTCAACTACTATAACATACAATGATGATAAAATTTTAGTAGATTCAAAGCAAAATGAAAATAAAAATACATCAAGTAATATTAATGAATGTGGTTCCCATACAAATGAAACAGAATTAGACAGTAATAGAAACAATTTTACAAATACAGAAACTGAAATCAATCCATCTTTCTGTATTCCATGCGAAAAGGAAGATAAATCTTCTGAAAACAACTGCAATAATTTGACATATAAAACTAATGACATTGAAGAAATATTTCTTCAAATACTTAATGATGACAACAGACAAGCAACTGAAAAATTAGATGATAAGGCTAAATCAAATAAAGATGTATCATCAAAAACAGTTCAGACAATAGAAAACACAAATGATGGCAATAATGAAATGACTGAAGAATATTTTAATGAAATGTCAGATCAAAATCCTGTAAATATATTTGAAAAAGATACTGTATTGCATAATTTAACAAGTGAATTGGCATTAGCTAGTAGACAGCGCTATATTTGTTTAGTTACAGAATGTGAGCAATCTTTTTCTGAAATTGAAAGATTGCTGGAAGAAAAGAATTCTGAAAATTCAGAAAATTTAATTTCAAACAATAATAGTAAAGAAATTTTAAGATTTGATCAGATTTTCCAGAATAACAATCATGTATTGGAAGAGATTGAAACAAAAAATATGATACATCCTTCATTTAATGACAGAAGTGACAAATTTATTCAAGAGAAACTAGAAACTGTTAACAATAATGATTTAGATTCATTAAATCCTAAGAATAGTGATTTAATAAATGAAATTAAAACTGTTGAACAAACTATAGATTATAAGATAAATTATTTGAAAGAAAGAATTGATTATGAAAAAGGAGGCATAGAAGAAGCATTAATGAAAAAACAAAAAGATAGTGAAGAAGCAATAGAATTTATTGATACTTGTAGTCAAGAAATATTAGGTAATGAATGTGAATCATTACAAAATCAACAAAATGTTAATCATTGTATTGAAAATAAATTAAATGAAAACAATGCTGAGAATTATGAAAATACAAATAAGTATGAAAATAATGAAAAGTTTTCAAAATCTCTACACTATACAATAGAATTATCTAATTCAGGAATCAATAAGAAATCTGAAGAATTTAAAAAGATTCTTGCTGGAAGACGCATTGGCAAAATATTTGAACCTGAGCATGATCATTTAAATTTTAAACAAGAAAGATGTTCAAGTATTTGTATAAGTAATTTTCAGTGTGTTGATGAAAAACAAGATGTTGAAACTAGTTTAAAAGGTAAAGAAAATTGCAATAATACTAACAATACTTTCCTTGAATCTAAAAATTGTGAATATGATGATTTCGCTAATCAATCTTCTGAAAATGAAAAATCTGCCGTAGCTCAGAAACCTAGTATTGCAAAATTAAAAGCACTTTTTGAAAAACCTATAATAATTGATGAAAATACTCGTAAGTCTAAACAAAAACAAAGTCATCCACTCTCTAGAAGTCATAGTCATCACATCCATTCAAATAAATCTGATATTTTATATTCTAATGAGAAAACAGTTTTAAAACCAACATTGTTTAACAAAGTTTCAAAAATATTTCATGCTCCTTCATACGAAGAACATAAAAAAATACACAATAGTAAATTAAATGCTTATAAATATAATGAAGGCACAGAAACTACTGCTTTACCAATGGAAGTTCGTGAGCAATTCTCAAATGCTAATGAAAGTAAATCTCAATGGTATGATGATTCAAAAAAGCCATATTCAGATGTAAATCTTTCTTTGAATTCTGAGGATCATTTACAGTTAGACAAAAACTCAATGACTGAGATAAATAGAAGAAATTCAGAAAATGCTGAAGTTGGATGTTTGGATATTTCTTCTCTGATGTCTTCCATTATTTCAGGTGAACAAAATATCAATCAAACACAGTGGTATGAACAGAATTCACTTTTATATAAAGATGCTAACAAAAAAGATAATTTCACACAAAATATTTCAAAAGAAAAATGTACTATTAAAGAATATAATAATAATGAACAAAGTTCTTTGATATCTGATTGTTCAAAGGGAAAAGAATCAAATAAATTATATCAAACAAGTGCTGTTAATCTACCAGAAGCAAATAAAAACAAGCTTCAAAATATATCTTTTAATTCCTGTCAAGAAGCTAATCATAATGAAAAACAAATGTCCACTGATAAATTGGAAGCTACAACTAAATGGTATTTCAAAAAAGAAAGTGATAATGACATTGAAAATAGTAATATGAATGATGTAAATAGTGATTCAGAGTTACAGTCTTGTCAAAATATAGTAAGAGCTCAGCAGGAAAATATCGGTAATCTATCTCAAAATATGACTGAATCAAATCTTGATTCTTTTCTTAATCAACAACCACCCCTTCCACCAAAAAAGAAAAATGACAAACCAAAAAATAGTACTAGTTGGTATTTAAATGAAAACTCTCAGCATTTAAATATGAAAAGTAGTACAGGAAATGTAGATCATAAAGAGCATGTGGCAGCATATGCAAATGTAATTAAAATGAAAAATGGATCTCTTATAGAAACTAAAGATTTGAAAAAATCAATATTGTACAATCTAAATGAAGAAAAAACTGATTTATATATGAATGTAAATCCAACAACGAAAAAAAATATTGAACAAATTGAAAATTCCTTACAGCAACATCCAAGAGGTGCAATAATTGACCTCACATCTCGGCAGTCTTTTGCAAATGAACAACAAATGGCAAATAATACTGAACAAAATGTTAAAGAGGAGAAAGGAGTTCTTTCCTCAGATTTTAAAGGAAAATTAAAGGAATATAAAAAAGTAAATCCTCCAAAAAAACTTAAAGGTTATGAAACAATATGGCCTCAAAAGAGCAATGATAGTCAATTTGACAATAGTAATTTAGATAAGAAGTTTGCATCTAATAAAGATATATTAAAACAACAGAAGAATTTTGAATTATTTCAAGAAAAGTCTGCAGAATGTAAAGAAAAACCTCAGCCAAAACCTAGATCATTAACATCAGATAAACAAATAACTAAATCAAAATCATCTTCAAATATCTTCCCAAAACAGTTTAATGTGAAAAATTCAGTATCCGATTTTACTAGATTTAAAGAAACATCTGTGAATAAAGTTGTTTGTGAACTGAATAGTATTTTGAATGTATTGACAAATCGTCCATTTAAATCTTCAAAACCTGAAACCTCTGTTACAGAAAAGTCTACTTGTTTATCATCAGAAACTTCTCAGAAGATTCAGCCATCTGCTCCACCTCGTAGAAAATTGAAACAAGACATTACAGACTGTCATTTGTATAATTCTGAAGTAAATTGTCCAGATAAATCAAATTATATCAATAGAAAAATTAATGATATTCATAATGTTGAATCAAATGTAAACCAATTATCTAAATCCACAACATTACCAAATATTAATCATTTAAGTTCGAGAACAGCAAATGAAAGTGTGAAAGAAAATAATGATAAGATTTCAGATTTTGAATCTTCTAAATTTACTCAAGATTCTAAAAAACTTTATTCAGTTTATGAAAATATTGATTGTAATCAATTTAATATTCCACAAGTAGAAAAACAAGAATCAGCAGATAATTTTAAAAGTAAATTATATAAATTAAAACACTCGACATCAGATGCAAGTGTGTTTGCAGTTTTAAGGAACACAAAATATCGCAAAAATAAATTATCTACAGATATGTCAATCAAATTAGAAAAGAAATTAAATGATGATGAAAACCAAACAAGAAATTTAAATGAAAAACACAAAATAATTGAAAATAAGTCTAATAATTTAAGTGAAAGTTCAAAACAGTCGTATCAAATAATTAAGAAACCCGAAAGACGTTCCATGGATGATATGGATATGTTTCCAGTTGCACCACCAAGATCAAAACGCCATGGTCCAACTTTAAAAAGTGTTTCAGAAATGGAAAAATTTACCAAAAGTTTAGATGAAGGTAAGCATATATTTGTTGTTTTAAAATAGAATTTAAATATACACTCATTGACAAAAAGTTACACACCAAGGACTGAATCAAATGAAACTTTATTAGAGCAAACTTGATGATGGTAATAAGTGATTACAATATCATAGTAAATGGACAGTTTCATCTGAAACAATGATACAGTTTAAAACCTTTATACAATTTTTAAAGCTTTTACTAACTTGAAATTCTACATTGGCAAAATATTTTTAAATTATGTAGACAAACACCAATTTTAAAAGTTTAGATAAAGTGTTTTAAACTTTACTTGTATTTAAAAAATTTAGGCAAAAATTGAAAAATAATATGTGAAGTAACATATACATATCAATTAAATATACATTGTTTTCATGTAATACAAAAAAGAGAATTCCAAAGATGATTAATGTTACTCCAGATGAAAATTTGAATCAAAGTTTTCATAGTAGAAATATGGCATTCTTCTACTCAGTCTTCCAGACAATTATTTATATATTTATTCCCAACTGCATTCTTGTAATCAAATATTTTGATTTTCATTAGTATGTTTATTTTTTATTATGGTAAAATTCAAACAAGGAAATTTACTCTCAATTTACAATTATAAACATATTTTTGAAATTTAAACATAATTCAATTTAACAATTGAAAGAAGAAAAAATTTGATGTTACTTTCAATGAAAGCTGATGGTGGTTTAGCAAAAGCTGATATTTATCCTAAAAAAAATAACAAAATTTTAAGTTCATGTTACCCAGTGATAATACAGTANTTCGTAAGAAAGCGGATTCCTAGAGAATGGAACGTATCTCTATCTTATAGGGGGGTCGACTGTATAATTAAATCTTCAATGTTGCAGATTTGTTTCTTATGTAAGTTTCTTCATACTAATCATATATGATAACAACAATATTTGAAATTGATACAAAAAATAATATAAACAAATATTTTTAAGATGAAATCTTGGAATAATAATAAAATTCTTAAATACATCATGTAAGCTTTAAAATATTCATGAATGGTTTGAGTCATGCCATAATGTTCTATAATTTTAGGATTTAAATGTTTAACCTGAAGATGATTACAAAAAATAACAGAAAATGTTATAGTTTAATCTACAGAACATTAAAATTTTTGAACTTATATTTTGATTTTGCACCTAGTTTGATTTATGTTAATTTTCTCTCTTCATTAATTTTTATTCAATCTTATAGTACTTAGATAATTTTCATTGTAAGAAATAATTGCTATTATATTATATTATATATAATTATATTTAACATTTAGCATAATAAATGTAATTAACTATTTAAATTATACAGTTATAATTTTTTAATTAATATTAAAAAATTAATTTTAGTTGGATTAAAGCCTGTGATATCTACGGATGCTCTGAAATCTTTAAATTTTCCCTCTCAGGTATATTGAAAATTTTTTAAATACTAAATTCTTTAAGTTTTAAAAAAATCTCCTAATAAAAACTTTTACTTTCAGCAAAGACTTCAAAGTAACTATGCAAATAATGATACATCTAACTATACTCAATCAGTTTCTACAAGTAAGAAATTTTATTATAATAGATATTTTTAGTAAATAAAACATTTTTCTTTGAAAATGTTTTATAAAAATATTTGTAAACAACAACTTTACAACTTTACAAATATTTTATAAAAATATTTGTAAAGTTTATAAATATTTTTCAGATTTAACATTTATAAGATAACGATTTTAGTTACAGATTGTATTTTGTAATTCTCAGTTACATTTATAGTATTTATTGAAACTTTAGTTAAAGCATTTTATTTATACTTAAAAAGAAATTGTTGAAAATTTATTTATTTTATTTAAATTTCTTATGACTAATTACACTATCATGATCAATAATTGTGTGATTCATTTTATAATTAAATTGGCTATAATCTGGCTTTTTGTCTAGAAATGATCTAGCCAAAGCCCAAGATTCCCTACTGGTTCTGAATAAAGACTTACTAAGTGCCAGAAACTCACAAGCATCACTGATTCTGGAGCTTGGGAAATGATCCTCAAATAAACAGAATAGTTTTCCAAGCTGAAGCTGAGGACTTCTCAGAAGAATCAATAAATCCTGTTTAGAGTGAGATTTTTTGACGTATGTACATTTTAGATTTCTTTCGTAAGATTGTGATAAATTAACGACCCTTTCATTGACATGTGTTAGCAGATTAGGGTTATTAGGCAAGCAAGACGTAGAACATACGCTTTTTTATGTAAGCTTATAAAAATGGAAAATGATCTGTACGAACAAGACCCTAATCTGCTAACACATGTCAATGAAAGGGTCGTTAATTTATCACAATCTTACGAAAGAAATCTAAAACGTACATACGTCAAAAAGATCAAATGGATATTCCGTTGCCAAAATATTAGAGTGAGATTCCTTAGCTAAAAATCTTCATGCATCTAGAACTACTAGAAACATTAGAAATGCTTGAGCAGAATTTCCTCTATGGTCTTGCCCTTCTGGGAAGTTTATTATAAAGATCTCACCCAGTCTTCAGTACTGGGTGAGGTTTTTACAATAAACCTCCCATTCACCAGTTTTCTTAGTTTGGTTGAATAACTTCTGAGTAGAGGACCTCAAAAGGCTCAACTTCTTGTTCTATCAAGGAACAAAATAATAAACGATCTTTTCTTGACTAGGACAGCTAATAATGTAGGACTTGAGAATGTGCTGCTGCACAAAGTCAACAACCAACTCAATATCTGACACAGCACTAAGTCAACAAGTAAAGCAATCTAGTCTAGAAGACATGTATTGTTTAAACAGTGTTAATTAATCCTCCTTGGATCTGAAAAAGCACCCTTTTTATGCTAGAAGTAAATGTAATGATGAAATTAATGTATGTTTAATCAAGCAAAGAAGGTTTATCATCTGCACACTTGTCCATAACTGCTACTTAAATCAAAGGAAACTAGAGTGAGGTCTAGAAAAATTACTAGAACAGAAGTATCCACCAAAAAATCCAGAAGAAAATCTCCTTTGGATTTATTTTCTTTATGTTCCAGATACTGTTATGTACATTTGAATCATATCCAATTATGAGAGGAAGATGACGAATGACAGAAAACTATTACAGATTTAGCCTTACCAGGTGGAACTGCTGGATTGATAGATAAAGACTAAAATTTTCTTAACACCATCTTTGTCAACCAATATTTGTACAGTAACTAAATATTTTGTTGAGATCAGAGTTGGAAAATACTTGAATCCATTTACTAACAAAAATGCAAGTTCTCAGATCTGGCCAAATGAGTAATAGTAAAGAATAGCATCTAAATTAAACAAGACTCTTAAACATCCATGACCCCTGTATCAATGTTCTCTTCACTACATGGTGACTCAACATTGCAAAAGTTGTCCCACAATGTTGGAGATTAATTTTATAGTTCTTATATTGCATATTCTTGGAGGGAGCTACATAGATTACAATGAAGCAATAATTGGCCAGTTGTTAGAATCAGAAGTTGCTGATGGAGAATCTGAGTGTCCACCAAGGATCTTAAAAGAAACCCTGATGAATTCCAAAAAAGGTCTGAGACTCAAATCTTCAAGCAACTTAATTAAGGAATATTTGGCCATTATAGTCAGTCACAAAACTAGGCAATAATCATAAGGGCCAAAAAGTCTATCCAGAAATTTACAGTAGTTAGTTGCTAGACCTGAGTTTCCAGTATTTTAAGAATCTGAGGAGGATTTTATGTTTCTTGCCTGGGGTCATCATCAATACTTTCACCATCTTGGGCAGAGAGTAAACCCTGACAACAGTTAAAGGAACTTCCCACAAGCAAAGACCATTCCATATGCCAAGTAACACTTCTCAAAGAGAAGCAAGCCAATCTCAATGATGCTAAGAAAAAGTTACAAGAAACAAAGCTAAGAAACTAAATCTGAAAATCCAGACTTTCAGATTTGTTGATCTTATCTAAGAGAAAATCCTGAATCTGATTTGACAAATCAGGAGAGATACAAATGTTCAGGTAGCCCATAGTTATGCATCATCAACATTCTTTGGTTCTATAGACACTTTTGGATGCTTTGGTTTTAGGTCCACTGGAGAAAGACAGTATACTCAGGATTGAAGCCCAAACACTTAGATATTCCTCCAACCATAGACTGCCATTCTCAGAAATGATAGGGAAGAAGAGGTGGCAGAGGTATCCAAAGACATCTCATTTACTGTCCTCTGTTGTCTTCTCCACTTTGCATTTCTTGATTGGAGTCCACCAGACTTCAAGGAACAGGTTGAGACCCATTCTGGTCAAATATATATTGCCATAAGAAATAGAGATGGCAATGGTGACGGGCCTCCAAAGACACCATACCCACCACTTCGGCTTAGCAGTTTTGGAAGAAGGACCAGAATCAATGGAGATCTTGAAAATAGATATGACAAGGTTATCCTCTTCAGCATCCTGCTGATTCTACCAACACTCCTGAAAGAGTGGAAGATAGAATATCAATTAAATCCTCCGAACCCATTGAGGAACTCCCAACAGACTTCTCACATGTAATATGAAAATCAGTCAGCAGTATCCATGTACAGGTATAAAAATAGAGGAAATGTAAAGTCAGTATCTGCAAAGCCTACAATACAGATGCAAGACTAATTATAATGGGCTGTTGCTTGGTGCCCCAAGGGAATTGTTTTTAGCACCCATTATTCCACTCAGGTACAGTACAAGTCTTTCAAATTGGCATTGGCAAGTGTCCTTTTAGTTGGACCCAGTCATAGCTCTAAAGTTAGAGAAATATCCCACTGAAATATTACAGCACAGATTACCAAGTCTCCCCATCACAACTAGGTGGAGACATTAAGGGGTATAGAATGTAGTATTCTGTTAATTTTTCATATTATTTTGGACTTTTATTCTTAAATTTCTTTTGATTATTTGTAAAATATTTGAATTCGTCATATATCATTAATGTTATTGTATTATTCTATTCTCATTTAAATGCACATTTCAATTTTAAAGTCATAAATTAAATTATTGAGTTCAAATAAAAATATATTCTGTTAATGGCTAATTTTTTAGATTTTTTGCAAGTAATATCTAATCTTAAATCTGAAAAATTTGGAATAATTTCTATAACACATACTGTATAATCAATCACATTGTAATAAACATGTGTGTAGCTTTTATAAT